GTCTCAGTCCCGATCTCATTACCGGTCTGGTCCTGCTCTCTGTCCTGGTCCTGGTCTGGTCCCTGTCTCAGTCCTGGTCCTGGTCCTGGTTGTGCTGCTCACACGGGAAGTAGATTAGACTCCGTAATGTCTGAAATAACAAACAGCTCAATTGGATTTTGTTTGTGGATGTGTCACACCAGAGGGAATTCCACGAAGAAAGCCTGGATCTTTATTGTCTATTTATTCTCGGCAGATCTTAAATTTTATCAATAAGCACAAGGTTTATTCATGCTTACTGGAAGACGTTTGGAAACACGCGGGTTTATATACATCTCACGGTACGATATTTATTGCGATATTTTGAAGAGGCTGATATACTTGTAGATGGGACACTTTTTTGCTTTTAAAATACCTTGACAAGATTTTGGCGTGAATTATTTCCATCATAATCCCAAGAATTCAAGTAAAAAACATGTTTCAGTCTGTGCAGATTCATTCTCCGCTGTCCCTTCAGAACTTCACTGTTTAAGATTTATCTTAAATGCATTAATCTCAGTTTTCCTGAATATCTCAAACAGTATTTAATTCCATTCAGATCCTCTTACAGTTTACGTCACGCAGATCAGATATTTTTTGTTGTACCAAGAGTCAAAAAACAAATAGGAAAACACTCATTTAAATATAAAACTCCCTCTGATTGGAACGATTTTCCTTCATCGAGTCGAGCATGAACTTCTGTCCCTTTATTAAAAACGCTCTGGTTCAATATTTACATATCCCGTGTAATAGTTTTTGATCATTTTGTTCAATTCTGTTGTTCATCTTGTTGTATTTTGTGTATTTGAATTCTGTCTTACTTTTTGTTCAGATTTGATTTATTATGTGGGTCCGGTCAAGCAGAAGTAAACAACAAGGCCAAAAATTCAAGTTAATGCATCTGATATAAAAATGTATTGAACAGATACATATGTACTCTAGTTTATGAAACTGTTGACCTTTTTTCTGTACCATTTTTGGTTCTAAAGTTACATACGTTTTAAACAGACCATGTATGAAACATGGAACAAAAATTATTTCCCAAATTTCAAAGACCTGAAAATCATGTAAATAAATGGATGTATTTCATCATATCTTGTGTTATTAAGAAGGTACATGATTTAAAAAAAAAAAGTATTTAAAATGATAAAAATTTGCTTGGAAGGACTGACATATTTTATAGAAATAGTTTCCTTTCATTTTGAAGTAATATTAAAGTATTCAGAAGAAAAAAGCGACAAATGATGTAAAATCCTGCACCTTCTACTTGTTTGCACAATTTTCCCTCCGTTACTTTTCCCTCCGTTACCATGACCTTTTCTTAATTAAAAAATCTCATTACTCAAAAAGTAAGAGGTTTTTCAACCTAATCTTGTACCATATGGTAGAAAACTATATGAAGCAAATATTCAAACCAGTTTGTTAAGGATATGTAAGTGAGAACCAAGAGTTTTCACTGTTTGGATTTATTGCCCAAAAAGTGCTGCATATTTCATTCCCTCCGTTACCAACATGAGTTTTTTTATTTTTTGTCAACAACTTGAAAGAATATCACAGGTTTAACTTGACCCTGTTGGAGTGTAACTCTTTCCTACATTCTGATACTTTACTTATTTCAATAGTCCCTCTAGTTTCTGAATAAGAGACATTTGAATGTAAAAAATCTGCCCGTTTCCCTCCGTTACCACTTGACCGGACCCATGTGTCAGACAGTCAACTGTGTGTGAGAATGTGTGTGTGTGTGTTGATTTTCTTGTTTTGATGTTTATTTGAATGTATGTATCCGACCTCTCTGCCCTACTGTTTCTGTCTTTTATTGTTGTAACTACGAGGACGCCATCGGAAACGAGACGGCGGGACATCTCAAGGGGCTTATCCTCCAAACAAATACATTCAAATTCAGATTTCTTCATGTCGTCTGCACTGAAATGAATCATGGGAAATGTAGTTCACATCGACAGTCTCGTGTAATAATGGTGTAATAATAGATTTGCTTCGGGTGTTTTGTGGAGTGGGTAAGACTGCAAATACAAGGACTGGATGAAATATATATATAAAAAAAAAAAAGTATCTCCAAACATCTCCAACACTCTGGATCACTAGGAAACGAGGTCCTATGTCCAAAATTCAGGACTGTCCCTGTAAAACAATATGAACTTGTGTTGTAAGACTGCACTGTGTTTGACCCCGGGCACGTTTTTCTACCTGCATACAACGAAAATATGTACAAAATGCGTGTTATGAGTGTGACCTGTAGGGGTTAATAATGGCCTATGGTTTTGTTTAGGAGACATATGCAAAACTGCTTGTCTCAGTGTTATGAGTTACTTTTCTTGCTCATGTCTCTCCCCAGTCTCTGCCCCACTTATTTATTTATTTTATTTTACCAAAACGTTAAGAATACAGTGTTTGGCTATAGCTGTCTTATACAAAATTTTAGATCCATGCATGTTTGAGTAATTTAGTGATCTCTCCTGGGCACTATTCAAACCCTCTGATTTGGTTCAGCTTCTGTCGGATTTAAAAAGGACACGACTTGGTGAATCCGTGTATCATTCGTTCATTTGTTTTTCAATATAAAACCAAAAATAAGAAAACGAAAAAACAACTGTTTTCTTCGTTATTTGTCTCCAAAACCAAAATGAAAAAACGGATAACGATTCGTTTTTTCAGTTTTCGATTTTGTGTTTAAATGAAGAATGGAAAAAACGGATAACGGCCGTTTCCCGTTTACGTGACTTCCGTGACTGCGATGCCGGACTTTTGCACCGCATACGGACTGAACCGGGACTGATCCAGGTCCGAGACCAGACCGAGACCCGAGCTCCGACCCCGGCGCTCTGGTCCCGGTCTGGTCCCGGACCTGGTCCATTTGAACCAAAAGCTCTTAGTTCGATTCATTTTCATTGGTGTGAATGCGTCAGTCGGATGCTTTGCACCACCTCGGAACCAGCCGCGGTTCTTGAGCGCGGAGGACCAGAGCAGCTCTGTCCCGGTCTCAGTCCTGCTCTGGTCTCGGACCTGGATCCGTCCTGATTCAGTCCGTATGCGGTGAGACTGGGACCAGACCGGGACCAGAGCGGGCCTGAGACCGAGACAAGACCAGGACCAGACCGGGACCAGACCGGAGGCTCAGAGCCCACGGCAGGGCCGGAGCTCGAAGCTGAGGCTCGGACCCCGTGGAGGCTTGGAGTCAAAGCTCGGAGTCCGCCCTGGTCCCGGTCTGGTCCCGGTCTCAGTCCCGCTCTGGTCCCGGTCTGGTCCCGGTCTCAGTCCCGCTCTGGTCTCGGTCTGGTCCCGGTCTCAGTCCCGCTCTGGTCTCGGACCTGGATCCGTCCTGATTCAGTCCGTATGCGGTGCAAAAGTCCGGCATCGCAGTCACGGAAGTCACGTAAACGGGAAACTCTAAATTCTTCATTTAAACACAAAATCGAAAACTGAAAAAACGAATCGTTATCCGTTTTTCATTTTGGTTTTGGAGACAAATAACGAAGAAAACTGTTGTTTTTTCGTTTTCTTATTTTTGGTTTTATATTGAAAAACGAAATGAACGAATGATACACGGATTTTGGTGGAATATGAGTGTTCTTCCTGTGACAGAGGGGTGTTCTGCTGATGGTGAGTCTGTTCTGTGCTTCAGAACAGACATCGGACCACTGCAAACTGTTTAAAGGTGTAACTTTTCTGGTGGAGGGTCCATCACCTGCTTGTCTTCATGGAGATGTTATTGCTTTGCCTGGAATGTTAAACATATGTATCTAGCATTTACCGTATTTTTCGGACTATAAGTCGCACCAGCCAAAAAATGCGTAATGAAGAATGAAGAAGAAAACCGGACAATAAGTCGAACTTTTTGGGCAAAATTTTGTTGTTCTTGAAAGTCAAGTTCTAGTAAAAACAATAGAAGAGAGAACAACAGACTGTTAACGTCACATATGAACAGTTCTTCAGACAAACTATAACATAAACAACAGAACAGAACAAGTTTAACAAACTCTCCATCTCACTCCAAATCACTAAATCCATTCAATTCTTCATCCTCGGTGTCACTTCTGAGCAACTCCACGACCTCCGGAGGTAAACAGACGCCGCTTCCTCTTCTGTGTCGCTGTCGTCAGACTCAGCATCAGTTCCAGTTAGAATTATTCCGGCCTTTCTGAATCCCGACAGGATGGTTTCAGTGTCACTGAAGTCCAGACTTTGTCCATCCATCCAGTGACTTCCAGGAAAGTTTCATGGTGCATCCTCCTGGTGTCACAAGTTTCTCTTTCAGTCCAAACTTTCTTTCTGCTGTTCGATTATCGTTTTCAGCAGCAGATTTCTCTACTTGCAGTTTGTAATCTGCAAAATATGATTTTCTTTTTGGAGGCATTTGTGTTCAGTCTTCTCAGTCGTTTTTATAAGTTTGTTTAAATGTCAAATTTTCAGTGGTGCAGAAGTAATGATACAGACATGACACAGACAGGACAGAGGCTCTTTCTGCGGGAGACATGCGCAGTAGAGTGAAGTGACAGTGGTACAGGAGGAACAGGAGCAGCAGATACTGACACACAAGACTAGAGCCTCTCAAGACTGTCAGTGTGAACATTTAAATATATAAGTCGCACCGGAGTATAAGTCACAGGAAACACCCAAACCATGAAAAAAAAGTGCGACTTATAGTCCGAAAAATACGGTATTCATTACAGGTGTTTCTATTGCTCAAAAATACAACCATTCTCTCTGTGAATAGGGACGCCTCTGCACAGATCTGACCTGTAATGTAGTTTATAGTTGTCTCCCTCACGATAGAAGAGTTTTAATCTCTTCTGTGGAACGTTCTGGACGAAGCAATAAAATCTTCATGGAGCCAAGCAGGCGACTGACCCTCCACCAGAAACGTTAAACACAATACACGTTTTAAAATGAACTTTTCTGAGGCAGTGTGAAAGATTTTAGTATTTTAGTCTAACTCTGTGTTTTGTTTTGTTTTGTCTCTTCAGATTGGCGCCTACGACCAGCAGATATGGGAGAAGTCGGTGGAGCAGCGAGAAATAAAGGTACAGTTCTTCAAATACACGTTTTTTATTTTTATTTTACACTGACATTTCCACCATCTGCAAATTTTCTGTTTTACTTTTCCTTTATGTTTCTTCCTTAACTTCTCGTTCTGACATGTTTTCAGACCTTTTCTTTCCCAGCATTATTATTATTATTCATATGGATGCACCTGTTTAGTTTTTCCGATAACAGATCCGATACAGATTTCGATAAAGTTTTAAGTATCTGCCAGGAACTGATTAAATGATATCAGACCGAGGGCAATCTGTGTATCATTCGTTCTTTTGTTTTTCAAATAAAACCAAAAATAAGAAAAAAAAAAAACAAAGCTGTTTTCTTCATTATTTGTCTCCAAAACCAAAATGAAAAAACTGATATTGATTTGTTTTTTCAGTTTTCAATTTTGTGTTTAAATGAATAATGAAAAAAAAAAAAACAGTGACTTAAACAGCAATGCCGAACTTTTGCCCTGCACTAAAACAGGACTGAACAGGACTAAAAACAGGACTAAAACAGGACTAAAACAGGACTAAAACGGATCTAAAACAGGACTAAAACAGGACTAAAAACAGGACTAAAACAGGACTAAAGCAGGGGACTAAAACAGGACTAAAACAGGAGGACTAAAACAGGACTAAAACAGGACTAAAACAGGACTAAAACAGGACTAAAACAGGACTAAAACAGGACTAAAACAGGACTAAAACAGGACTAAAACAGGACTAAAACAGGACTAAAAACAGGACTAAAACAGGACTAAAACAGGTCTCAGGACTAAAACAGGACTAAAAAACTAAAACAGGACTAAAACAGGACTAAAACAGGACTAAAACAGGACTAAAACAGGACTAAAACAGGACTAAAACAGGTAAAACAGGTCTAAAACAGGACTAAAACAGGACTAAAACAGGACTAAAACAGGTCTAAACTAGGTCTACCAGGACTAAACAAGGACTAAACCGATCTCAGTACCGGTCTCATTCCCAGTCTGGTACCGGCCTGAGTCCCGGTCTGGTCCCAGTCTCAGTCCCGGTTTGAGTCCCTGTCTCAGTCCCTGTCTCAGTCCCGGTCTCAGTTCCGGTCTCAGTCCCGGTCTGGTCCCGGTCTCAATCCGGTCTGGTCAGTCTCAGTCAGGTCTCCAGTCTCAGGTCTCAGTCCTAAACCAGGACTGAACTGGGAGTGTTTGGACGGGTCCAGAGTTGCGACTGCATAGACTGTCGAGTGATCAGGACCAGATCGGGACTGAGACCGGGACTGAGACCGGGACTGAGACCGGGACTGAGACCGGGACTGAGACCGGGACTGAGACTGGGACTGAGACCGGGATTGAGACTAGGACTAAGATCGGGACCAGACCGGGACAAGATCAGGACTGAGACCTGTTTAGTCCTGTTTTAGTCCTGATTCAGTCCTGGTTTAGTCCTGGTTCAGTCCTGGTTTAGTCCTGGTTCAGTCCTGGTTTAGTCCTGGTTCAGTCCGGCATCACAGATTAAGTCACGGAAACGGGAAACGGTCATTATCTGTTTTTTCCATTATTCATTTAAACACAAAATCGAAAACTGAAAAAATTAATCATTATCTGTTTTTCATTTTGGTTTTGGAGACAAATAATGAAGAAAATAGTTGCTTAATCATTTTTTAATTTTTGGTTTTATTTAGAAAAATGAACAATATTATATTACATTATTTTCTGATCCATGTTTTAATGTTGTTTCCTCAGCAAAAACAGACCTGGAGTTGTGTTTTGGTCTGTTTTTGCTGAGGAAAACAACTCACAAGAATACATTTTTTTGTAATATAGGAGCTTTAAAAGTAAAATAACATGAAGAAAAAAATGAACCAAACTGTTATTTATCTCTGAACAACTTTTTATGAATAAAAATCAAACATTATGAGACTTTCTGGACCAACTATGACCAGTTAAATCTTATTACATCGATCTATTTCCAACCAGGATTTGGACTGAACAGATATTTTGAAGATATTTTACATTTTTCTATCCAATACTAGGATCATACGGGTGCATCCCTGATTATTTTAGTTTGTTTTTGTTCCTTAAACTTTTTCCTTTCTGCCTTCTTCCTTTCTGTCCATCTCATCCCTCCTTCCTTCCATCTCTCTCCTCTTAAAGTTCATTTCTCTGGTGAGTACTTGGCCGATGTGCATGTCTGCTCACACAGGAAGTAGATTAGACTCCGTAATGTCCGAAATAACAAACAGCTCAATCGGATTTTGTTTGTGGATGTGTCACACCGGAGGGAATTCCATGAAGAAAGCCTGGGTTTTTATTGTCTATTTATTCTCGGCAGATCTTCAGTTTTATCTACGGGCACAGGCTTTACTCACGCTTACTGGGAGACGTTTGGAAACATGTGGGTGATGACTTTCGATGTATTTCCCGACACTGGGCATGAGATAAAACCGTGGATTCAGCAGCAGCGTCTTCACAAAATGACAAAGATTTTCCGCGGGGAATAGGACTTTAATCGCAGCTTCGATGTCGCTTACAGGCGGCTGGTCGTAACTTTTGATCTGCCAAACATAACGGACAGTGTTGGGAGTAACGCGTTATAAAAAAATGATCATATTTTACTCGGTACAAATGTGAGTAACGTGCGTCACAATGCTTTTTTTAACCTGGATTGAAATGGTGGGTTTTTCGTTTTTCTTCATACAAATTCGCTAAAATCACCGCGATATCAGCAGCGGTGAAACGCCATCGTTACAGTTTCGAATGTCAGGATGGGCCAGGAGGTGCGCCCGTGTAGACCGTTGAGTGACCGTGAGCGAAAGGACCGACGCAAAGGTCCGAGTGCCATGGGGCGATGAGCAGCCGACGCCCGATCGAGCTCAGGGTTCTCTCAGGCGTGGAACTAGATTCCAAGTCCTAACCCAAGATTAGTCCTGGTTTGGTCCTGGTTTAGACCTGGTTTAGTCCTGGTTCAGTTTTGGTTCAGACCTGGTTTAGTCCAGGTTTAGACCTGGTTTAGACCTTGTTTAGTCCAGGTTTAGACCTGGTTTAGACCAGGTTTAGACTTGGTTTAGACCTGGTTTAGTCCTGGTTCAGTTCTGGTTTAGACCTGGTTTAGGCCAGGTTTAGACCTCATTTAGTCCTGGTTTAGACTTGATTTAGTCCTGGTTTAGTCCTGGTTTAGACCTGGTTTAGGCCTTGTTTAGACCAGGTTTAGACCTGGTTTAGTCTTGGTGTAGTCCTGGTTTAGACCTGGTTTAGTCCAGGTTTAGACCTGGTTTAGGCCTTGTTTAGTCCTGGTTTATTCCAGGTTTAGTCGTGTTTTAGATCTGGTTTAGTCCTGGTTCAGTTCTGGTTTAGACCATGTTTAGTCCTGGTTTATTCGTGGTTTAGACCTCATTTAGTCCTGGTCTAGACTTGATTTAGTCCTGGTTTAGACCTCATTTAGTCCTGGTCTAGACTTGATTTAGTCCTGGTTTAGACCTCATTTAGTCCTGGTCTAGACTTGATTTAGTCCTGGTTTAGACCTGGTTTAGTCGTGTTTTAGATCTGGTTTAGTCCTGGTTCAGTCCAGTTTTCCCAGATTTTCTCTGAGTTACTATCGCCAACAGAGGAAAGAGGAAAGTCGTCATTTGCATTTTTCCAAAACGTCTGCAGATTTTGTGACGTAAGCGAGAACCGAGCCCACCACCTGCTGGCCTCCATGTTTGTTTTTTTCCTGAAATGTTCTACAGTATGGCATTTCATTTACCTATCTCCATGGAAACAAGCAGACCACATCACCAGACCAAGCCACGACCAGTCAGATCTGTGGAGAAGTGGACTCGCCGACAGAAATAATGCACGTTTTTGCTGCAGTTTTGAGTAGTTTCGAGTAGTTTGTTTAAAGCCATACTGTGGAACATCCCAGACAAAGCATTAAAATCACCATGGAGACAAGCAGAGGGCAGACGCTCCACCAGAAAAGTTACGCAGTGCACCTTAAGCCTTTTATTTAACCAGGAGAGCCCCGCTGAGATTGAATAATTTCAAGAGAGTCCAGTGCTTTTTGTTGCCGTAGTAACACGTTTATGTAACCCGCTCTGTCTGAATACAGTTGTGTTTCTTCGTCGTCGTTTATTGTAATTATAATCAAGGCATTTACTGCGCTTCACAGTGTTTGACGAGCACAAATAGAGGTTATTTTTCGCCGAGCCGCCGCCTCGTCCGCTTATCGGAGCCGAGTGTGAAACGTTGGAGTAATGATCCGCGACGACGCCCTAAATCACAAATCATAACCTTGTGAAGTGAGACGTGAGCCCATTCTCATTCTCAGTGCAAAGTGCAGACGAAAACCACAAATACATAGACGCGCGCACACACACCCAAACCACACACACACACACACACACACACACACACACACATGCACAATAGAGTGAACTCCCCTCTGCACTCAAACTCAAACTCAAAGGTTCGTTCAGACACAAATATAAACTCTGTCTGTTTGTTCGTACTAAAGATTTTCCGACATCTTTCAAGTTACAGTTGCAGTTTTTTCAGATAAATTTTCAGTTTTGTTGTGATTTGAAATTTGCGGACGCCCTGCTCCACGGGCTCGGGGTTCTCTCAGGGGTGGAACTAGATTCCAAGTCCTAGTCCAAGATTAGTCCTGGTTTTGTCCTTGTTTAGTCCTGGTTTAGTCTTGGTTCAGGTCTGGTTTAGATCTGGTTTAGACCTGGTTTAGTCCTGGTTGAGACCTGGTTTAGTCCTGGTTTAGTCCTGGTTTAGACCTGGTTTGGTCCTGATTCAATCCTGGTTTAGTCCTGTTTAGTCCTGGTTCAGTTTTTAGACCTGGTTTAGACCTGTTTAGTCCTGGTTTAGTCCTGTTTAGACCTGGTTTAGTCCTGGTTCAGTCCTGGTTTAGACCTGGTTTAGTCCTAGTTTAGTCCTGGTTTAGTCCTGGTTTTAGACCTGGTTTAGACCTGGTTTAGACCTGGTTTAATCCTGGTTTAGTCCTGGTTTAGACCTGGTTTAGTCCTGTTTAGT